AGTGGCGTGCCACAAGGAAGCGTCCTGGGGCCTATTTTGTTCGTTGCTTTTATAAATGATCTGCCAGAAGTAGTATCCAGCGTGTGCTCCATGTATGCCGACGACACAAAAGTTTATAATACAGTGAAGAATGCGTCAAATAAAGCGCAATTGCGAGATGTTCTTGACAGCTTAGTTAACTGGGCTGATACGTGTCAGCTGCGGTTTAATGCTGACAAGTGTAAAGTACTTCACCTCGGGAAGAACAATGAACAGCAAGATTACAGTATGAGAAGACATGGTTGCAACGAGATAGTAATGATTGAAAAGTCTAGTGTGGAAAAAGATCTTGGAGTTTATGTCGACAAGGAGCTAAAATTCTCTAAGCATGTTGAAACGCAAGCTTCCGGGACATGTAGAGTTACACATCGAGTTGTGATGATGTTGTTACAGGGTCACGTGGAGTTGCACGTTGAGTTGTGATGAACGCTACCGGGGCACGTGGTGTGCTTAGTAGGTGATGATCGACGTGCTGACGGGATGTTGCTGCGAAACAGAGCTATGGTAATTTTGAACACACGATTCAATTTGGTAAGTAAGCAAGTTTTCACGTGAGCTTGGCATCGCAAAATAGACTAACACATAACCTTGCACTGTCTCAAGATTCCATCTGTTAAGGCTACACTACACTGAGCACAACTGAAGACAAGGGTAATCCTACAGGCACTGTTTCTAAGTTAGGGAGCTTACCACGACGTTACCAGAGCAGCGGCTGGTCTGAGAGTGGATAGAAGTGAGCTGTGAGAGACCTACCTGAAATGATGTTACAGAAGCGGGTTCTTTCTAGACTCACTCTTTTCATGTATATAAAATTAGTTATGTAGCGAGATCCGTTACACAGGCCTCCAATGTCGCTCGGGTGATGGTCTCATTGTGAGCCTCCCGTATGTGTGGTTCTTACTTCTTAGGTCCTCCAGATTGTACATAGGTGGCATGTGAGTCGGCGGCTTTAAGGTCGCGCTATAGGAAGACCAATGTAGTTATATTGTGAAGAAGTCTGCAACCTGTTATATTTGCACGAAAATTTATCAACAGTAGTTTTTTGAGGCACTCCAGATTTTTTACAGGGATTATTATTCATAACATGGTTTTTAATTTTCTTATTTTTGTAGTAGATCAGTAGTTTTATTTTCTCGTGATGCATTGTGCCCTTGGGTATATTAGGGATTATTGACTGTAGGACTCGTTCATCTATTTTAATTGAAGCCTCTGTTCATCTGGTTTTGGTGAAGATTGTTGAGACGGTCTCATTAGATTTTTCTTCATTGTTGGCTCGGTTTTACCTCAATCGATAATTTGATATTTCAGCCTCAAAAGTTCTATTTGAAAATCCCTTATTTACTAGAATTTGTTTGCAAAGTTCTGAAATCAAATTTCAAATCACTCGGATGTGCAGGTCTTGAATGCTCTTTGTATGAGAGCGCACAGTGCTGGTTTTATGGCGTTGAGGGCATTCACTTTCTTCGTTTAGTACTTTTCCGACATCGAAAGATTTTCGGTAAACATTAGTGACAAAGGAATTCGCACTAATATACATATCTAGGAATGGCAATGTGTGATTTTCTCCAATTTTGTGGGGAATTTTCGTGATTGAATTATGTTCCGACTTCGCAGTTCTTTCAAGTGCTCTTCGTCTAGAATGACAACGAAAATGTCGTATACTATCTGCAGTAAAGCTCAGGCTTGATCTGTGCATTGAGTAACACTCGATTTTTCAGTTCACACATAGAGAATTCTTTAAAAGTCGGACCCATAGGGCATTTCATGGCAACGCCGTTAATTTGTCGGTGAATGTTGTTATCAAGAGTTTGGAAAGGAGTTCTGAAGTACAGAAGCGTAGAAGTTCAATTAGGATCTTTTTGATGACCATATGGGGCGTCTGAGTGCTGTCATGTACGTCCACTTAAAAATATAGACTCGCATTGTTTGCCTTCACGAATAGATATGGTCCGCGAGTCATGCAGCTGCATGGGATCGTTGATTTTTCGAAACTACAATTTTTATGTGGTTAATATTTCCGGACCAACAAATTTCCCGTAGGCTAAATGATCAATCTTTTCGATTATTGACAATATTTGACTTGTCCTCTCTTTAATCGGTATGATCCAATTATCGAATTGCACTTGCTTGAGCTATTTTTATTAGACGCGTAAAATCGTTCATAATTTTTCGAATGAAAGTAAGATAGGTAATTACTACCCTTGCATGATGTAAGAAACCACTAGCAAGCTGAAGTGTGTCTGATGCGATTGGTTACTTTATCGACATCTTCAAAATAAGAGATGCTAATGATTATTTGAGGCGTGAAAATTTTTGATCTGCAACAACAGAGGCAATCGAAAGCTAAACACTGAGGTCAATAATTAACCGCAGAGAAGCAAAATGAAACATCAAATGGAATGCGAGTTCGCATCAAGACGTGAGAGTTTGCTGAGCTGGCGCCACACTTTCAAAATTCACTAAGTGAACATAAGTACTTACGCTCTATTTTCTTGTCTATGATTGGTGGATTTTGCTTGAAAGACCGTCAATGATTGGCTGATGAACTTACGATCTCTTAACTTTTTTGAAAGTATAGGCCCTGGAGTGAAAAGATTAGTTGTGCAGAAATATTTCAAACTTAGCAACAATATTTTGCAACTTTCAACAAATAACTGTATGAGAATCTCTTTTGTTTTGATAATTTACTGTGCACAAGACTTCGAAGGTAAATATTTATTTTATTTCTCCTCAGTGAAAATATGACTCGAAACGTCTAGTAACTTGACATCTGCACCAAGTTCAGGTATAGAAAAATTACTTCCTAAAACGTCTAGTAACACAGGTATAGAAAAATTAACTCCCTAATGTGAAGCGCCAAATGTCATTATTAAAAACGAATCAATATGTAAGTTATAATTGTTCAACTGCAGTATATACCTCACTAAAATTCTACTATTGCACGGTCGCACTTCATGCAATAGTAATAAGGATGAGTAAAAGACCCATAATTGATGCGATTTCTCATTTTTATTTAGTAAATTTGCAACAGAAGAAGTTAGAGGATGTTACCGACTAGCCTGTTATTGCCTCTAGCTTTGCTGATCAGTGGCTTGGTACCTAACTTGTAGAGGCCATGATAGTTTCTAGACTGACTTCTAGTTAAAGTCTACCATGCAAATAGGTTAGAATGAGCTAAACAAAAATCAACCATAGTCGTCTAATGAAATGATAACAGAAAAAAAGTTCACTCCGAAGCGGAGTTGAATCTCAACCATAAGTCGTGTGCAACATTTTTAAATTTAGGAAGCGATTTTTAATAATTCCTACGTGATTAGCTGAGGGATGAAGTTCGTGAGACACAAATAGAATATTTTAAGGGAATAGATAATAACCTGAAATGTGAATCCGTTTACTTTGAGAGTAAAGACATTGAGCGCAAACACGTCATGGTAATATTTTATTTCGGTGATAACAACTCTCCAAAACTGGTTATGTAAGCAATCAATTTTACGATCGACTGTTCCACAGGTAGACTGACTGGAATACTGTGTTCGATTTAAACAGCACCAGCTCACATATATAAAACGAGACCTCAAACGAGAGAAGTATTTATAAATTGTAGCGCCATTTAATTAGTGAAGCCAGGTCCCGTGATTCAATGGTCAATAAATGGAAGCCGGGTTTCAATGAAGGAGACATGGTTAAACAACAATAAAATGAGTTTCGAAAACGGGTGGAAATGCTTAGTAGGTCCTGTAATAAACGTCTTTTGTACATATCTGTCTGAATATTATGCAATATTTATATTATTCCACCTTCAAGTGCAGGCGTATCCATAATAATTATATTATACTCTTTTTTCATAGGGTATTAGTCATAAAGCTCTTTCTGTACCGATTAAAAACTATCGAAAGTTTAACTCTTACTAATATAAACCTCTGCCGACGTATCCGCTCTGTGTCCAGAAACAGAGCGAGTTAGTAATAAAGAGACATAGTGGTCAGAACTCGAGTTTTCTGGTGAATTATTAATATATATCGGGACTGAAAAATTCGATGATCGAATATCTTGACCGAAAACTGGGTAAACTGCAAAACTGAAGGAAGAACCGGAATTGATCAGAATTAGCTCAAAAGCGCGATCTTCATTTCAATTTCTTAAGTAATCAGTCCTTTAAATTAAATACAGTCTGTTTGTATGCCTTAAATATGCTTGGCTGGGTTTCAAAATTTTCGAGGCGTGACTGTGTTCGCATTTTAACATTTTCAGTCCAAATATAAGGCCACGTTCTAGCATTCTCTCGAAAAAACTTGAACGTGGAAGCGGGTCTAAAGTAATAATATATTTCACAATAAATGTAATAATAGTAATAATCATAGATATTATAGGGATCGAACAACGTGGAAGCAAATACGGCAATTCTTATGTACATGTCATCGTTTCCTCTCAATGTTATAACAATGTGAACAGCTTATCTAGGGTAATTTTAATTTCAAGGAATTCTTCGGAAAAACTGATCCGCTACAACAAAATTGTAACTAACAAATTAGTAATCTACTTACATAAGGAACCTTTAGAGTATTCCCTTAAAGTGTACAGCAGGCGTTTGAAGATCTTTATCGCTAAGCTGAATAAGATGATAAAAGATTTAATTTTGGCATAAAGAAACAAAAAACTGCACCTCAGAAGTTCGTATGTATGGAAAGTTCGAAAAAAGTACGAATAACAAGCAGAACAATATAATATTTTTCATCAAAAAAGTTGACCTTGGGATCATTTGTCGAACTTGAATGCACTTGCAGATAATATCGCTCGGCTTTATTCGAATGGCAGCAGAATTCAAGAAATTTTATGAAAATGGAAGAATCTCACCAAATGCATAAAATAAATAGAAACTGCTAAGGAAAAAGAATAAAACATAAGATTGGCCTACGCCGAAAACTAAGCAACGCTTTTCGAGCTGCATTAGCCAATTAAGAGAGGTCATTTATCTGACATTGCTCACATTATTGCACTAAGGAAATAATTGAAAAAGTTGCGCTTTAATATTATTTTAATATCGATTAAATAATTTGCATGGATCTCAAATGGGGGAATATCATATAGAGGATTCTGTCTGGGCTTTTTGGAAGAAAATATTTTAATATTTTATGAATACTGGTCCTAAATTCTCATAAAGTTATAAAAACATAACTTCTCAAATAAATTTTGCGTTACTAGAAAATTCATTTGTGTTTATAATTCAAGAGGAAATCATTGCGTAACAGAATTATTTGCCATTTTTAAAAACAATTAAAAGGGGCTACGGGTGCTGACAGTGCAGCGAAGAAGTGCGATCTGCTTTCTAGTCACATTTTCTTGTCCGTTCAGAGCAAAAAGCGCGATTCCCATCCTACTTTTATTATGTACAACCTTACGTAACCTCCCCTTCAAAACTGCGCGGTACATTATTAAACAGCCGGAATATTTTGTCATGTTGATCTGAAAAGTCGCTGATAGTTTCAATTTAGGAGTTTTTTGTCGTCACTAAATTTATATCTGAGAAAATCGTGAAGAAAAGAGATCGCGTCTGACCTGATCTTCTCACACACTGAGAACACCAAAAGCCCCTCGTCAATAATACCGATTCAGCTTCTACCAACGGGCTAAATACGCACCTAAATCGTAAACTATCGCCTTGGGTTGCTACCTATGGCCTCACAAAATTATCATCCCTGCTCCGATGCTCAGGCTTGCAAAAAACTTGTCGGGCGTGAAAAAGATTCATGGCACACGAGAAACTTTCTGCAGGCAGCATATCGTCTTGTCCCTAGAACTTGCTGTGTACGCCTCCATTACCTTCACATTTGTTGTTTTAATACTTAACAGGAGCACACAAAAGTCTAGGCACGAGCAGAGCAGTCTTTTATTCTAAGGGGAACTCTTGTGTTCTTCCGCCATGCAGATGCTCAGTACATCAGGGCACAGAAGTCTCGAGGCTGTTCAAAATAATCACTTATGATTTGGATCACAATGCGGTGAATGATGTACAACTTAACTTAGCGTCATGTTTATATTTAGGGCAAGGATAACACGACGACAGTCTGCGGCACATTTCCAGTTTCAGTCGTGGCTTGGAACAATGCATTGAGATTACTGGTTGGTCGTTTCCAAACAATTATTAGTTTCTCGAGTTACATTTTTTGGCTATTGAAATTTGAGCGGCAAATTAATTAACGTACACGAAACGATAACGAAATGATAAAACTAAATTTATACAATGAAGTAGTCATTGGTGACTTTTGAAACATATTCATCCCAACAAGAAACCAAAATTTGTTTCACACTAACTACTTATTTCTAGAGTAATCATGAGAGCGGCAAATAATAATTCGTTTGTGAATAATAACAATAGTTTTAAATTGTGTAAACTACAAAAAACATGTCAGAGGTGTGGACTTCGTATCATATAATAAAATGTTATATTTCTGAACATTCTCTAAAAATACTTATTATTAGCAGTAAGTTAATAGTCTTAGTCAGAATTTCATTAATGAAACAAATTAAATCTATTACAGTTCAATCAACCAATTAATATATTTAGGACTGCAAAACGATGAAGACTTCATACCTCATTACGAAAAGCGGTCAGGTAACATTCTAACTACTTATTTCAGGTAAATTTTAGCATGAGACACCAAATGGACGCATAAAACATTTACAAAAATTATTATTTCAATGGAAATTGCAGCGACAGAAAATAATGTTTTTGAATGTTCTTAAAATATTTGAAATTTCACCTTAATTGGAGAGTATGGAAAGGTTCATGGCTGAATTACCAGTGTCAGAGATCTCTAGCCTGGAAAAGGTTTTATGTCACAATACAAGGATTAGATGAGTTATTGTATTAAAATAAACCTTGACCACAAGGTGGACAGTATTGTTATCAATGATGATGGATGTCAGACAAAAACACCGTATATTAATGTATATCATAATAATAATGAACCTTGACCACAAGGTGGGCCGTATTGTTATCAATGATGATGGATGTGTGGCAACAATACCGTATATTTACTGTATATCATAATAATAATAAACCTTGACCACAAGGTGGACAGTAATGTTATCAATGATGATGGATGTGTGGCAACAATACCGTATATTTACTGTATATCATAATAATAATGAACCTTGACCACAAGGTGGACAGTATTGTTATCAATGATGATGGATGTCAGGCAACAACACCGTATATTTACTGTATATTATGAAGGTCGCAACGAGGGTTTCTCGCCACCAACAATTGACTCGTCAAACTGAGATTTTTCACCAAGTTTGCTATAGTGAGGAGTACTTAGAAAACGCTCCTAAATATTCAAGTTCATTGCACTGCTGACATCTTAAAATAGTAGTGAATGTTAATTCACTTCTTGGTTGAAAAAAATAAGTAATATTTGAATGATGATTTGTCTTTAGTGGAAATCCCATTTACAGTATACAAACGTGTAGTTCGGATACGAAACGGTATACAAAACGGATACCAAACTTCCTGGCCGTTCGAAATTTCGCTGTACGAAAATTATAATATAAATTGTTCTTTGCAAGCCAGTTATCAATTTTCGCATTTTACATCAGGCTTAAGTTATACATTATTGATACATAGATTCCACTTGATTTATTCCTGACGATAAAAACTGAACAAAAGAATCCACAATATGGAGTACTTAATTCTCGATGTCCTCTCCCTGTACAATATTTTTAGTGGAATAATTTCAGTGTCAAGTAAAAGAATTCGATGGAATTTTAGTCCCACATAACTGAGCCAGCAAAAGAACGGCTGCCATGCCTAGCAATGATAGCGTCAATTACAAGAGCTCCCCATTTTTCGTTTCGAGTTGATCAGTAGGGTTTAATGGGATTACGTTTCAATCGGTGGTGCCGCACGCCGCCCTCAACGGTTCTAAAAGGTAGGTTACTTGGGGTGGGGCTGAAAGAGGGGTGAACAGAAAGTGATGGATCATCAGTGCCAGAAAGCCAGAGTTTGAAGCGATTGATGCACATTTTACGCGTACCGGAAATATTGACAAGTTGTGGGTACATCAGAAACATGAAAATCTTCAGAGAATGCTTATATGAAGAAGAAGCCTAAATTTTTTACTGTAACCAATTAAGTTTATAGACCGTATTTCTGGAAAACAAACTATTGAGTCCGGCTTGTAGCTACCAGGCGAAGGATTCAGAACATAAAATGGCATATATTCGTGGACGCAATCTGGGGTCCTTACAAAATGAGAAAATGAATAGAATGAGGTGAATTCCCGAAACATTTTAATCTTAATCACAATCCTTGATTAGTGTCTTCCATTATGATCGTCTTTCTGTTCCATAAAATTTTTGGCAGCAAAATTTATAAAAACCCCGAAAAACTCCTCTTGACGCGTTGAGATTTGAATTGACGCTTTATCGTGTGTTTTAGCAGGTATACGTTGCTTCCTGACAAATCAATGCCAGAAATAGTACGAAAAAATTAATGCAACATTGACTGATTGTACGTCACGCACGAGGGGAATATGGAAAGTCTCTCTTGTAAGTGCTCTCCTTCTTCCAACGTCATTTGTGAAGAGTTTAATTCAAATAAGAAAATTAAATGTAAGTCATGTGTGAAAAAGAGTACGAGCGCAGATTGAAGTTTAATTGGGCTGTGAGTATCTTCTTATTTCAGAATTCAAAGCATTAATGGGGATAAATAACGAGAATAAAGAATGGTTGTGTAAGATACATACTGGTAAAAGTAAACTTTGAGATTGAAGTTTTAAACTTCCGGACAAGTGACACCGTCATGGTTTTATCTCGAATTATCTGGAATGAAAAACATCACAAAAATGTAATAACATTTATGAATTATGGAATAAAAACAGATTTAATCCACGGACCGCTGGTGATTGGGAAGCTTCAAAAAATTTAGGGAGTATCTAAAGTAGGAACTTGGAGGATGATAGCGGTCGTCGATGTGTTTTTTTTTTCTTGTGGCGGCCATTAATGGAGTGAAATATTATACATCACAATAGTAATGTTCAAATGTCCCGTTTTGTAAGAACCTCGAGACTGTCCGTGTTGTTTAGAGAGCTTCTAGGCACTGTCCGTTGGGTCTGGCAGAGGTGCTATAGCGGCCTGGTAAGAAGCCATTCCTATAGCTGAGATTGGGATAAGGAGGAGGCGCCCGGCGGCAGGGAGGGTCCGGCTGGCCGTTCTGAAGGCAGTGCATGAGCGAAGGATGGCAAGCGCGCGGCGCTAAGTCTCATATATAGTTCACAGACTGTAAAGATTTCTCTTGCTTACCAATACGTGACTGTTTGGGATCCGTACCGTCCCCTCCAACTTCGTAAACTAACTGAGTGACGAGTTCGGCGATTAGAACTGGGTCCATTATCGGGGCCAGGTTACACAAAACAAACCAGTCGCTCAGGTTGTGCGAGTTGATGAAGCGGTCGAGGGTGTCCTCTGGGACCAACTTAGCACTGAGCTTCAAACGCAGACGACGCGCTGGCTTACAAGTAAGTAAGACCATCATGTACATGCCTCGTAAGAGGGATAGACCAAACAACATAGCGTACCAGAAATACATGAACAAAAATATCTTATCGTTGAAGCAATTTATGGGCAACAAGCAGAGAGGGTAGTAACTGTTGATAGAGCCCCCTCGACTGTGGTACTGCAGCTTGCAAACGGTGAGTCTCGGAAACCGAGCTGTCATAGGTGAGATCGTTGTGTTGGTTGAGTTGTGCATGTAGTTTAACCAATCAAGGCCATAATTGTAGAAGTCTCCTCCCAAGAAAACATCTGTCAGTATGAAGAAGGCGGTTAATAACGCTATCGCCAGCAGCTCGGTAAGCAAATACTGCCATAGCCAATACTCGTGGTTGCCTCTCGTCTGTTTCATATGCCATACCAAAAAGTTCTTCTTGTCTTCCCAGTCTTCTCGTCTCCTGAGATTGGTGAAGTCAAAGGGCAGGCACTGCGATTGTGTAAGCTGATGCCATATCTGTCGTGGCAGATAGACGATCAGCGCCTCGATGAGAAGGAAGAACGTAACCCACTGGTAGTACGATATTTCTCTGCGTGAACTCTGGCCCTCCACGAACTGGCCCAGGTTTGGGTAGATGACATTTTTCCCGACCTGAAACAGAAAAAATCCATCAGATCTAATATAGAAAAGGAAATTACATTTTGTAGTCATGGATTATTTTATTACTTCGAACAACGGAGGAATGAAACACCAAAGTAAACTGATGAACTTAATTCCGTTAGGACTTGAATTATTATAACTCTTGTAAGTCAGAGAAGGGATCGTAATATTCGCTAAACCTATTGTCCATATTCTACGAGGATTTAAGCATGGGTCTTAATTAATTTGCCAGAATGCCCTCTAACAATGGCTGTTGTATAAACATTTGCTGCAGCAAAGGATTCTGGGAGCGATTTTTCCGAGCACCTTGATGAGAGTATAACGGGAAGCCTCAGGAAAAACAAGGACTGGGCTCGGTTAAGCTCCTAAGAGTGCTCACTAAAGAGCCTCACACAGATCGCGCGCATTAGGCGGCTCTTAGAGGAGAAAGTGACCGTAAAACCGATGCTATAAGGCTGTTCACGGCGCACAGCTACTACTGAGAAAATGCTTACAACAATCTTCCTCGCCATGTCATTTCTCAGACAAGGAGTTTATTGTTGACATGCACGTTGTTCGGGGTCTACGTCTTACTGTACCCTTGCATCATGCCCCTCTGCATAAAACTGCATGCAAGTAAGTATGGGAGGAAGAGAAGATTCATGCGGGTTATCTAAGGATATGACTATGGATTACCTACTACGATGCATATTGATTTGATATCAGCAATAGAAGGATATTTTGAGCTAAAAATTCTCAGTCTCGTACTGTCCATTGCTGGTACCATTCCGTCGCTGAGCCATCAATCCCCGAAGTGAGAGAATGTTTAGAGTCTTAATTAAATAAAACGATAATCATTTACTTGTCAAACGATTTACTTCATCATATTTTACGTAATGAAAAAATTGTATACGCAATTGCGTATTTTGTTGTATCGTATTCTATTTTTAGCCAATGCAGGAATTTCAGCAGTAAAATTCGTTCAATTGGTACTAGAAAATTCTTAATAGGTGTTGAACAGTTGAATGGAAGACTGATACAAGTGGAAGCCTCACTTTAAGTGAATCTGAAGTTTGTGTAACTGGTACCTAATGCGCACCAGTTATTCTGCATTGTAGACTCAATCACACAATTATGGTACTTCCAAATTACGATGTTTACGCAGCAAACGTTAACCTTAAACTATTTACCATAGATTTTAGTTTGGTAATTTAGCAAAAATTGCCTCACGTACCGAAAAAGTTTATCATTAACCACAACAGTTGCCAAAATATACACACAGTACAGTCAGGTCAGTAAGTATCAGTTCATAGTAACCTCGCTGAAAAGCAGAATTCTATGCGCAACGATGGCGCAGCCAGGAAGCATCAGCTCAAAGAAACATCCTATGGAGAAGCAGACTTGTATTAGCGGAAACAGTGCAACCAGTAAGCATTACTTCCTAAATATGTGATGCAGAAAAGCAGACTCATATGAGCAGCTATCCTGTGAGAGCCACAAGAGCTTGTTTATGAGGTCGAAGGGCTGATACCGGCTTGCTGGTCTCCCTGTTCTATAATGCCTCTAAGGTTTTACTAATAAAACCGGCAGCTTAGGAATAAATTCCTGTAGCACGCGTTTTATTGAGGTAATATTCTCAGTAACGGTGCACTACACAACCCGACATGGCTTCATTAGCCGCGTTTTATCTCGTTAAGGTCATCTCATCGCTTGATCCTCGCTCTTAAACGCGTCGTCACAAAGTGAACAAACTATTACTTGCAAATGTACCAACTGAATTGGTTTGTATTGTTATAATATAGCAACTAAACACTAATATGTTTGCTCCACGATGTACTGTTGTCGTCAGTTATCTAATTCGTTCATATGATAGTGATTTAAGAGTTATATTTACTATATTTTTCGTACGTCCTCGCTGGTTCACGCTTGAGGAAGCTATTAGATGAAATTTTGTTTGAAAACTGCCAATCGTAATACAGCTCTGAATTTTCATGGTTCAGCAGTTCGTCTAATATAAAATTAGAGGAAGTGCTTTCATGATCTCACATTGAATTTTATTATGTGTTGAAACGAAAGCGTGAGGGATAATTAAATAAATAACGGTCATACATATGATTATTAGATATTCAAATAAACTATTTTCTGAAACATTAAATGGACAAAATAACAAATATTTAAAATTTCTTTATTTTTTTCAGCTGTCACTGCTGAAGTATAATGTTTTAAAAAAAAATGATCACAAATAAAAATTGTACAATGTACAGTCTCTTTGAACTGATGCTTGCTGACTGCACAGTCTCTGTTCATATTTGTCTGTTTCTCTGGTGAAGTTTTTATGAACTTAACGCTGTAGCAAGCAGAGGTTTCGCTATTAATTGATATACCAGTTTTTCTAGTCTCATATGCTTAACTCGAAAGTGAAATGGAGTTCGTGCCTAGAGAAAGTGATGGTCGTAGTGTGAGCGCTGGATGACTAATTTTCAAAACACTTTCCAGGAAGTTTTAAGCTAGTTTGGTCAATAGATATGAGACCTGTGGAGTGTCCAGATCACTCTTAGCAACATGAGTAGAACACAACACTTCCAACAGTAAGCGCAGTTTTGTGACATCCAAAAATGGCCTCCACGCATTCATCACCAAGCGAAGCCACGTTAGTTTCACTCTGTGCCATTAGAGTGAACAAACTCAATGCTCACACTGCCAAACGTAAAGAGAGATAGTGCTTGTTTAATCCATTCATTTTGATCCAGATATTATTCTGTTCTCTGTTGAAACCGTATGATTTGCGTAATACTCCTGAATAAACGCGTAAAAAAATTTATTACTATTATTTTAATAACTATGATAGACAATTGACAGGAATGGTATTTTTAAAATTTCCTTAATAAATCACAGCCAATTGAAGAAAAAACTGTAAAAAAGAAAAAAAATAAAAAAATTGTAAAAAAGCCTCACGAATAGCGTTTAGGCAATTATCTTGGGAATGATAAATTGAAGTGCAGTTATATCCTCCTGATTTGCAAGTTAATGACACAAAGTAAGTTAAATCTTAAAAGCATTTACCGTAGACTTTTCTGAGAATCAGATAATCGGCTATTTTTTACTTTTCGTCCTCGGTAATTTGGATGAAGACAGGAAAACAGTGACAAGTCTTCTTAGTGTAACATCCCAAAGTTCTATGAATCTTCAGTTTAACAGTTGGCTCACTTGCCAAAATGACAGTTCTGCAATGAGTGCCCCACTTTTTATTGCTAATCTGGCTGGCGCAAACCTTGAAAATTTTTATCCCTAATGATGTATTTTTGTTAGCCGACTATTTACTAAAGAACCTAAAAGGATTATGCCACCATAGCTGTTATTTGTCCTAAACGGCCCTTATTTGAGCCCAACCAATGTATTTGTGGGGGCAGTGTTTTTCTAATTTTCTCGCTCTGGTATCGCCGTGATGTTTTAAAAAGCTCAGCATCTGTGTGATTGGAATTTTTTAACCAAAAATTTGCACTGGATAACTTTGCAGCTTTTTCAAAAGCGTAAACTGCTGTATTATTTCCAGTCTTCATTCCTCGTCACGTTTGAGTACAAAAATTTTTTGTTAGTGCCCTTTAGATAAAAATTCCATTAACGGCTTTTACGCAGCAATACGAAGCTATGTGTTCCTGGAAATTCAGGGTTGATAAGTGATATGTTTCGGCTTTATGATTTTTTGACAAGCAATGCCAGCTTCAAGGCATTATCAGCAAAGATTAGAACTAAAAGTGTCCAGAAACTCCACTCTTACCCGACCTCCATTTTGTTGTGAGTGTTTTCCATGCAGCGGAGGATAGAGTGGTACCCGACAACGAAGCATAACTATTCTATAGAGGCTGGCATGGCTCCAAAGATGCCTCGCTGCAATGCTTATTGCAACGCCTTAGTTTGAGCAGAATAGTAAGTCCCTTGATGCGATCTGTGCGTCGCATCACAACTCTTATTGCATAGTCTAATTTCGGGCTGAACGTTTCGCTCTTGTTTCGCAGCCAACATTAAAACATTTTTACGAGTAGTGAATCATATTCACTAATAACATCGCATCATAGCAACGCATATAACTAATTATATTATTGTTTTTTTTTTCAAAAGTATTAAACATAAAAAATCCAAATCTTTCTTCAAATACAGCACTTCTGTATGAGTGTAATGTACATCAAACCGCACTCTTGAATATGTCTTTGCGACTCGACGTGGTGGTTGGCAAAAATTTTGGATTAGGTTTTGTGCTGCTGACAAACAAGGAAAATATTATACGATGAAAACCGGATTTATTGACGGATTGTTCCGCATTAAGAAAGATGCCAGCGGACTTCGGATTCCTAGCTAGCTCATGTGATAATTTCTGGACGCCAGCCAAAATGAATATTATAACATAATATATTCTTACCGGAGCCAGAGATTGTGCCAGGACCTCAGTCGCGATTGTTCCGACACGGATATTATTTATTGAACTCATTTTTTGACACATATTTTATTGCGGAATAATTAATGATTAATAATTTATAAACTACTTTGGAAATTAAGATGCAAATCCACGTAATATTTTGATGATGAATTGTTTTAATTTATTTTCTAAATTCGATAGAAAATCGATTCAGATAATGAATATCCGCAAAATTTTTGCAAAAGACTAAATGAAATTCAAACCACTACTGGTAGCGAAATTTAGCTACGGTAAAACTCTGGCAATGCTACGAAATACAAACGAATTCAATTTAATGAACGTAGTTAGAGGAATTCTGTCCAGAAAGAACAAACAATTCTTTCTCAAGTCATCTCACATCGTATAATTCTTCACACCAGTCGTTGTATATAGTGGAGTTTAGTTTATTTTTAAAGCACTTTCCTCAAAATTGTTTTTTTATCATGTTTTATTCGTTGCAATTGAATTGTATTTGAAAACATTAATTATTAGATGTTCCTTAATAAGTTCGGGTTTACACTAACAGTCGCTCTTGTTTGAACAGATCTTACGAATGCGT